TTTGCCAATCGATTTTGAACAGGTTAAATCGATATCAGAGTTGAGAGATTAAATGTGACCAGGTAAATTTGTCAGAGAATTATTCAATTCAATATTATTGTAAACTAACGTAAATAAATAATAACAAGATGAAGATTCTATTTGAAAGGATTATATGATGATTATGATTCTAGTGCAATGAGCTTCTATTTACATTTTTATAAAGATTTCTTGCATATTTTAAGGATTAAAATTGCATTTATTGCAAACCAGCTAATAGTAAATTCATTTTGTCATACCTTTTGCTTATTCTAATCCCTCATGATTTGTCATTGAATTTTCTAAAACTCAACCCTCTCATTTCTCATTTAAAATGTAATACAAGCACTTAAACGTAATGTAATTCACCTTGTCAAACATCCAGCCACTATACCCTTTTGGCAATTTTTATTTAAACAACAAAAAATCCCCAAAACTCAATTAGAAACACTACATGTGTGTTTGTTTGTATCAAACATGTTCAACTGTTGATCAGATACAAGACCTTTAGGCATCGTAGAGGAGGAAAATGTGCCAGTGTATTAGTATATGTGATTTAATTTGTTACCTATACGGTATGGTATGGAATAAGTATTTGAGAATTGGGGTATAGAGAATATTTAACATTGTTATTATCTGGTTTGGTTGAATTTTTTTTTACAAAAAACTTCTCAGGGAAAATGCGACCTAACCTTTCATGGAGATTATGTATAATTATGAAAATTGTTTACAAAATGGTTTTTCGCCTACAAAGAACTCTTTAAAACATCGAACAATAAACTAGACCTTAATATGAGGGTTGTGTCAAACATGAACCTATTCCAGGATATATTTTTTTCAAATTCCAAAATTACGGAATGACAATATCCAATAAAACCATAAACATACTTAAAAAGCAAAAACAATGTTAATTTCGGCCCGGTCAAACATTCTATACCCTCCAGCAAGAATCAAAATATCTATAATTAATGGCGGCTCACTAGAGAAAACTCATGTTATTATAGGACCTTGAACTTTGAATATCATTGTAATTTTCCAAATATATAATAGTGGGGCTACTGTTATATGGGGCTTATAATAAAACGGCGATCAATATTGATATTTTTGGTAGTGAGGTTTGACAGTAAATGAGAATACAAAAGAAGATTATAGGCAACCGTGTTCAAAATTCTCAAATACCGACTTGGGTCAATATTAAGATTTTTAAGAGTGGAGACCTGGCCTTCGTTATAAGGGGACTGCAAAGTTGATTGGAAAACATGTCCAAATACCCAAAATACCGAACATTGGAGGTTACTGTTATATGGGAGATACTCTGAAGCTTGGGTCAATATTTATAATTTTTGGTACGGATATGCGTCACGCAATGAGAACAAAAAATACCAAACAACAGACAATTCGGTTGGAAAACTTGTCAAAAATCCAGCAATTACCGAATATTAGGGGTGTCGTTATATGGGGGCTACCCTAAAACTTGGGTCAATAATAATAATTTTTGGTGTGGATATGTGTTATCCAATGATAACCCCAAATGACAAATTACAGCCAATTCGGTTGGAAAACGTATTCAAAATACCCAAAATACCGAATATGGGGGAAGTACAGTTATATGGTGGGCTACCTTAAAACATGGGTCATTAAATAAGACCCACCCAAAATACCAAAATACAGGCAATTCGATTGGAAAACGTATCCAAAATCCCACAAATATCGGATATTCAGGGGGTACCGTTATATGGGTGCTACCGTATAATTTGGGTCAATATTAATAATTATACTCTTCAGGGTATTATGTCTTTGTGCATATGTTTGTAACAGGCAAAAGGAATCGAGATAGACCCGTGGTTCGTTATGAGAATCACTTTCTGCATCGAGTTATGCATTTATTTTCAGATTTAAATATACCTCACATATATACTTTAGTCCAATTTTGCACGATATTTTGTTGTTGAAATCGGTTCAGATGTAGATATAACTCCCTCATATAATCAGGTTTAGATATAATTTCCATATTTATTTTCATCCGATTTCATCAAAATGATGTACCAGTAACTAAAGTTTGTCCGCTTAGGACGAATTAGTGCACAACGTACCAAATCAAACCTAGAATAACGTGTATTGGATTTTGTGCCGAGATAAATTTTGGATAGCGCACTGTGATATTTTATATATTTTCCTCGATGATTGAAATTGGGTTATTTTAATTTAGTTCAAATGTATATGTATGATATGTCTATTTTATCTAATGGATATCGTGAGCACCTCTTGTATGTACCCAACGTGGTGAAGGGTATCATATAGTCGGCCCCGTCTGTCTTTTGATGTTTCCGTACTGGGCTTTGGTATGGATATGTGTTATCCAATGATAAAACAAAATACCAAATTACAGCCAGTTCGGTTAGAAAACGTGTTCCAAGTCCCCAAAGTAACGAGTATTGGGGTGTACCGTTAGATGGTGGATACCCGGAAATGGAGAAGAATCATCCAATGAGAACCCAAAATACCAAATCACATCCAATTCGTTTAGAAAACGTGTTAAAAATCCATAAAGTATCAAATTTTGGGGGTTTCGTTATATGCTACCTCTACCTCTTGGGTCAGTATTTGGAAAACTTGTCCAAAATCCCCAAAATACGGAATATTTGTGGGTACAGCAATATAGGGACTAACCAAAAACGAGGACCGATACATACCAAACATCGTAGGAGTACTAGCAATGTATGTAAAAAATTTCAGAGCTCTATTTTAAATATTGCGATTTCTATCGAGATTTCAACAGACGGACCCGCTTAAATTGACGTAGAATTTTATTCGAATTCGAGGTGTTGCAAATATGAATATTTCGAGGTGTTGCAAACGGAATGACAAATTTAAAGTAATATACACTCCAATTTTTGGTGGAGGTTATAAAAACAAGTCAACACATATTTCGGCGAGGGTCCACCAAAAATATTCTTTAAAAATTACGCTTAGTGTGGCGAGGTTTCCTGAAAAATTCACGCTAATAGCAACGACTTCTTTACAATATTTCCTAAATCTACATGTTTATTCTATACAATATATTGATTATCATTCCCCAATTTTACAAATCCTTTGTATGCTTATATTAGAGACTTGACGGCTTCCCGGGAGAAAGCTACTGATTTTCAGTTTTTATTATACCCTTTACCACACAGTGGTACAGGGTATTATGTCTTTGTGCATATGTTTGTAACAGGCAAAAGGAAACGAGTTAGACACATGGTTCCTTTTGAGAATATGCATAGAATCACTTTCTAAGTCGATTTATGCATGTCCGTTCGTCCGTCTGTCTGTCCATGTTAAATTGTAAACAAAGTACAGGTCGCATTTATGATCCGAATTGGATGAAATTTGGCATAGGTCACTTATTTGGCCCAAGGACGAACCCTATTGAAATTGGGAAAAATCGGTTCAGATTTAGATATAGCTCCCATATATATATTTAACCGATTTAATGTAAACGGTCCCTATATATCTTTCGAATTGCAAGAAAATTGGTACAGCCTAATCATTTAGGTCTAGAGTGATGTCTGCCAAGTTTCAAGAAAATCGATCTAGATTTAGATATAGTTCCCATATATAGTTTCGTCCGATTTCATGTAAATGGTGCCCCAAAGTCCCTATATATATTTCGATTTGCACGGCATTTGCCATAACGTACTGAATTGAGCCTAGAATGATGTCTGCCAAGATCCAAGAAAATCGGTCCAGATTTAGATATAGCTCCCATATATAGTTTCGTCCGATTTCATGCCCCAAAGTCCCTATATATCCTTCGATTTGCAGGAAATTTGGCATAACGTACTTAATTGAGCCTAGAATGATGTCTGCTAAGATTCAAGAAAATCGGTCCAGATTTAGATATAGCTCCCATATATAGTTTCGTACGATTTCATGCAAATGGTGCCCCAAAGTCCCTATATATCCTTCGATTTGCAGGAAATTTGGCATAACGTACTTAATTGAGCCTAGAATGATGTCTGCTAAGATTCAAGAAAATCGGTCCAGATTTAGATATAGCTCCCATATATAGTTTCGTCCGATTTCATGTAAATGGTGCACCAAAGTCCCTATATATCTTTCGATTTGCACGAAATTTGGCACAGCGTAATGACTAAAGATGTGTGTCAAGTTTCGTGAAAATCGGTTCAGATTTGGATACAGCTCCCATATATAGCTTCGTCCGATTTAAGGTAAATTGTGTACTAAACTCCTTATATATCTTTCGATTTGCACGAAATTTGGCATAGCGTACTGCATTAAGTGTAGAATGATGTGTGCAGGGTTTCGTGAAAATCGGTTCAGATTTAGATATAGCTCCCATATATTCATCCGATTTGTGCACCAAAGACCCTATATATCTTTCGATTTGCACGAAATTTGGCATAACGTACTGAATTGCGTCTGTAAGTTTCATGAACATGTGCTAAGTTTCATGAACATCGGTTCAGATTTAGATGTAGTTCCCATATATAGTTTCGTCCGATTTTATGTAATTGGTGCACCAAAGTCCCTATATATGTTTCGATTTGCACGAATTTTGGTATAGGGTAGGGAATTAAGTCTAAAATGATGTTGCTTGGCCGATTGACACAACGTACTGAAGTAATATAAATTAGTCTCTGTCAAGTTTCCCTTAAATCGGTTCAGATATAGATATATAACAAACACGTACGTCTGCTATGATAAATATATAGAATATAGCCAAAGTGGTGAAGGGTATCATATAGTCGGCCCAGTCCGACTTTACTACTTTCCTTACTGGTTTTTATTCTAAAAATACTTTAGCACAATCCTAATACTTTCCTCGTTCAATATTTTACGTGAATTTTAGTGTTATTGTATTTTGGGGGAGGCGGGGAGTACAAACTATAATTAAAGACGAACATGCCAAATCGGCCTGCCTTTGTCAACAACTCTCTAATCCATCCTCTATGTCTCTCTTTTTCGACTATTTTCAGATAATAATTACAAAATTAAATTAGCATCAGGAGATTTGAGTGTCGAAGCATGTCAACCGAATCCTTGCCAATACAATGGCAAGTGTATTGCCAACAATGGAAGCAGTTACTGTCAATGTCTGGGCCATTACACTGGAAGGTAAATGCACTGAACTGAGCTGTGTGCTGGCACAGCCACAAAAATCCTGCTAATCCTGATGAACAAAGACTAAAATATCTAACATATTTGTTCGTTCTCCCCCTCTCTCAACTTTCTCCCTTACCATGCTTCTTTCATTATTATATATAGATTTTGTGGTCTAAATATGTGTGAACTAGATCCCTGTGTCTTTGGCCGATGTGAATTGACAGCAAACAATTTCAAGGTAAATAAAACCAACAACAACAACAATAGATAATAATATTAATACTAGAGGTTATGTTTGATTTGCTTGAGAACATCCGTTTTTCATTCACAATTATTTATTTTTAATACAATTACAAATTGATAGTGCCATTGTCAAGCTGGATATATGGGTACAACGTGTGAACAAAAACAAAAGCCCTGCTCGGAGAATCCCTGCGAAGGTCGTGGTGTTTGCATTGAAAAGAATGGCGGTTTCTTTTGTCGGTAAGTATGGCCCGCATAGAAGAGGGGAATATATATTTTGTAACTGTTGCTCTTGTTCTTATCTTCCTTGCTCATGTAGCTGTTATGCCTGGTGGGAGGGACATCGCTGTGAGAAACGTATGCTGCATATACCCTATAAGCCGTTGTCGGAACGCATGCTGCAAGAGCCCTTTTGGCTAGGTCTTATTACAGTATTTGTTGTTCTGGCTGTTATCGGCTTGGTATGGTGTGCCAAACGACATTTTCCGGAGAAAATTGAAAAACTCTTGGCCGAGGAAGCCGATCGGAATCGACGTGAGTATATGGTTTATTTATTTGTTTTGGTTTGGCAGGATATCAAAAGTTAAGCAAAATATTTGTACGCAAGTTTACAGTCATGAGGGGAGCATTCCTTAGAAAATTTTTTATGAAATTTTAAAAGTAGATATTTTAATATTTATGAGAGACTGGATGCTTTTTTTCTGCAAAAAAATCACCATTCTAGTGGACTGTGTTACTTTTGTATAGAGGAAAATCTGTCATATGGGGGCTACCAGATTTTTTGAATGTCTATACTAATAAAAGAGTAAAGTGATTCAATCACTTAACAATTCATCAATGCCCAGACGAAACGGCTGAATCTAAAATGTTGAAATGTTGGGTGAGGATCACTATTGGTCCAAAGTTGACAGATAAGACCGGGGGTTTTGGAACGGTACGAAAAGCACTAAAAAGTACTAAATGTTATGCCATTTGTATTTGGCGAACCGGTAGAGCTAGAACTCTTAAATTTTAAATGAGGGTCACAGATGGAGTGTAGAATAGATATAGCACAGGGTTTTATGGACATTCGGACTAAAAGTAAGCGAAAATTACTAAAATGTACTAAATGTAGTATAATTTCGTAGCATGTGAATGGATAGAGCTAAAAACTTGAAATTTGAAATGTCTATTAGGGTTTAGATGTAGGGTCTAATTAAGGAGATGATTTTGAAAGAGTGTACTCATGTGTACGAAAAGTACTATATGGTACTATATTTGGTTCAAATTCAATTTGGAAATACAAATCGACCTGAAATTTCAAATTAACATTACCGTCGGAGTGTAGGATTGGGATATGTATGTAGTTTTGGAAATTTGTTACTTATGTGTACGAAAACTACTAAACCGTACTATTGGTACAATTTGGACTTGGGTGAAACGATAGAGTGGTGAACAATGAAATGTGGAGTCTGGATCACTGTAGGGGTGTAGGATTGGGGTCAGGATCCAGTTTAGGTAAAATAATAGTTATGGGTACTAAATGGTACTAAATTTGGTGCAGTTTGAGTCTTAGGTGAACCAATAGAGCTTGGAGTCGGGATCACTGTTGATGTGTAAGATTGAGATATGAGGGAAATATTAGAAATTTGTACTAATGCGTACTAAATTTGGTACAATTTAAATTGTGGGTGAACCGATGGAGTTGGAATGCTGAAACTTGGATTTAGGATCAATGTGGGGTGCAGATTTGGGTTAACTAGGAAGTTTTGGAAATTGGTTCTACTGTGCACTAAATTTGGTACAATTTGAATTATGGGTGAACCGATAGAGTTGGAATCATTAAACTTGGATTTGGGATCACTGTGTGGGTGTATGATTGGGTTAAGCAGGAAGTTTTGGAAATTCGTACTACTGTGTACTAAATTTGGCAAAATTTAAATTGTTGGTCAACCAATAGACTTGGTATCCTGAAATTTTAATTTGGAATCATTGGGAATCAGGTTAATGCATGTTTAAATATATCAACATTCTTTAAAAATTCTTATCATTGACTCACGTGGATGAAATTTGGTTTATCATAACGGTATCGCCACATCTCCACACTTCAAATTTTGATTTTGAACAAAGTCGATATTTTGAGAATTTTGGGCACATTTTTAAATCGAATTACCTGCCATTTGGTATTTTGGATTCTCATTGGCTGTCAAACCTCACTATTAATCACTACTAAAAATATCAATATATATCTCCGATTTATTATAGCCCATTTTTCGGAATGTTCAGGGTCCTTTAATAACACGAGTTTTTTCCTAGGAGCCCCCATTAATTTTATATATCTTTGTAGTTATCCTCATGACGAAGGGTATAAAAAGTTAAAATGTCGCTCAAAAATTTTATATAGGTCCCTGAAAGGAATGAAATTGATTTGATAAGTCGAGCTTAAAAAAGATTTCCAAGCGCGTCGGTCTTGTGCGCAAATCCACCAATTTGGAAGACCACGTTCCAAGATCTGATTTCTACTTGGTCTTTCCCCTTCTACGGGAACCATCAGTAGACTCGTTTTTATATGCCTTTTCAGCTGGGGCATTCTCATTCATCCGCTCAACATGGTCTAGCCACCGTAGTCGCTCAATACGACTGAATATGTCGATGTCCGCGTAAAATTATAGAGCTCGTGGTTCATTCGACGGCGATATTCACCGTCGACGCATATCGGCCTGTAGATCTTTCAGAGATTTTTTTTTCAAACACCCCAAGAGCTGCCTCATCTACTTTCGCAAGTACCCATGCTTTTGATCAATATAATAGCACGGGTAGTATCAGCGTCTTGTAAAGTGTGAGTTTGGTCTGGCGGGAGATGGCCTTGCTTTTGAATTGTTTGCTCAGACCAAAGTAGCATCGGTTGGTCATTACAATCCTTCTCCGAATTTCAAAACTGATGTCATTCGCTTTATTTATGGCGGTACCAAGGTATATAAAGTCTTTAACTACCTCGAGGCTGTAGTTCTCAAGGTCCACAGTTGATCCAAGTCTAATGGATGTCTTGCGCGTTGATACCATCAGCTTGGTCTTCTCGCCACTTACTGCCAGACCCACTTTGGCAGACTCCTTTTCAATTTGTTCAAAGCTGGATGTTACCGCTCGCAATGTTCGACCCATTATACCGATGTCATTGGCGTAGGCGAGTAACATGTGGTGTTTGGTGTACAGAGTACCATTTCTGTTCACCTTTGCGTCTCGTATGACCTTTTCCAGTATGATGTTAAAAAGATCACACGACAAACTGTCACCTTGTCTGAATCCTCGTTCGGTATTGAAGGGCTCCGATAGGTCCTTTCCGACTTTAACTGCTGATCTTGCTATCCTGCCTAGCCGTATTAATTTTGCAGGGATGCCGAACGTAGACATGGCTTTAAACACCTCTGAACGGATAGAGCTGTCGAATGCGTCCTTAGAAAAGGAGTGAGTGAAAATCTGGTCAATGGTGGATTTGCCGGATCTGAAGCCGCATTGGTATGGTCCAATGATGTCATTGACAATTGGCTTCAATCGTTCACACAGCACACTGGATATCACTTTATATGCGATGGGAAGGAAACTTATTCCTCTATAGTTGGCACATATCTTGTATCCTTTTTTGTGCACGGGACACAGGATGCTGAGGTTCCAATCATTGGGCATGCATTCATCTAGCCAAATTATATTAATCAGCTAGTGCATGCTCCTGACCAGCATCAGGCCACCAGTCTTGAATAGTTCGGTTTGGTGTTTTACTCGTTGGTAAAATTTCCGGACTTCATTTTGACTCCTGTACATCTCGATTTCCTCACGCTCACGTTTTTCTTGTTCTTTCTTCTTTTTTCTGAAAACACGTTTCTCCTCTCTCCTTTTCTCCCGATAATTCTCCATCACGTTACGTGTTGCTACTGTCTGCAGGGTTGCCCTATACGCTGCGTTTTTCACATCAGTAGCATTACGAAACTCCTGATCGTACCATGGGTTTCTTGGTGGTGGTTTTTGGTACCCAAGTGTTGCTTTCGCTGTAGTTTGTAGGGAGTGGACAATTCTTTGCCATTGTGCTTCTATACTATTATCGGGACAAGAAGAGCTTTCTTCAAGCGGATGGGTAAGTTGAGTGGAGTCGGCCTCGGCTACATGTTGTGTTTGGAGCTTTTCGACGTCGAGTTTCCGTGTTGTGTTAGATCGCACCATTTCTGCTACATTAAGATGGGTGCATACCTTGGCTGCCACAAGGTAATGGTCCGAATCGATATTCGCTCCTTGGATAGATCGGACGTCTAAAACACTGGATGAATGCCTTCCGTCTATCACAACATGATCAATTTGATTTCTCGTTGCATGATCAGGAGAGATTCAGGTGGCCTTGTGTATATCGAGATGCTTGAATCTGTTGCTGCTAACTACCATTTTTTTCTCTGCCGCGAAGGCTGAATTTTCCAAAGATATTTTCCCTTCCAATTTTTGCATTTAAATCTCCTAGCAGAATTTTAATGTCATGTATTTGGTCTGTTAAATTTTATCTTCGGTCGGAGCATGGGCGCAGATGAGACTGATCTAGAAGAACTTCGCTTTTAAACGGATTATAGCAATTCGCTCATCTACTGTAGTGAATCTGGAGACGAGGTCTTTTATTCTCCTGTAAACCATAAATCCGCATCCAATTTCATATCTCGTTTCATGGCATCTATAATACAGGGCGTAATCATCTGTTTTACTTACCCCAGTCCCTTTCCATCGCATTTCCTGTACGGCAATAATATCGGCTTTGTAACCTGTTCTGTACAACTTGCGCACATTCCAAGTGCAGATTCTCAGATCGTGGTCCTTTATACATTTGCGGGGGCGGTTTGGTTTTCTTTTTCTTAGCTTTTTATACCCTACATAACTATGTTGTCAGGGTATTATAGCTTTGTACAGCCCTAAAAATTTGTAACGCCGCGAAATTAAGTATACCGATCGTCATATCTCGACTAGCTGAGTCGATCTAGACATGTGTGTCCGTCCGTCCGTCTGTCCATTACAATTTGTAAACACGATACAGGCCACAGTTATGGACCAATCTTCACGAAATTTTGCATGTAGATCGGTTAATATTTAGGGAATGAAATGGACAAAATACTATATTTTTCTGTTTTTCTGGTCGCTCCAGAGGCCGCAATTATGGCTCAAACATCGCGAATTTTTACAGGGATAAGAGGATAGGACCAAAGAATAAGAGTGCCTGTTTTGATAAAGATCGGTCAATATTTAGCGGGTCAAATGGACCCTGACTTTTGTGTGAAAAATGACAAAATATGTATTCTATACCGTATATATTTACTCCTGAAGGACATAGACCCAAAAGAGGAGTGGTTGACCTTTAAATCGATACCAAATATATTGTCGTATGTACCAGGATGTTGGAGTTACACTTAAATATTTACAGGTGGTTACGTATTCATATATTATTTAGTAACCCATTACCGCACTAGAGGGCGGAAATATAGAGCTGATCGCTTCGAAATTTTCCATGAGGATCCAGGTATGACCAAAGACAACGCCCATAATTTTCGGTGATGATCAGATAGTAGTTTTGGGATAAAGTGGACCGAAAACTTATTTTTTGTGTAATTTGGAGTCGATCTCCGAACTTCACAACATAAAGGGTGAAGGGAATCTAGACAAGTAATTAGAAAGGCTGCACTGAATATTAGTAATAGTTGTGTAGGGTATCATATGGTCGGCCCCGTCCGTCTATACTGCTCCGCTCACTGGTTCATAGTAGGTTGGGTTTTCCGAGAGTGGGCAACTACCCGACGCCTCAACCCATTTTTTATAGTTCTTATGGGTGAACTCGCGGCACATATTAGCTCACTATTTCATCGGGTGATGAGAACAGCTTCCCAGGTCAGTGTCCACAATTGAGATAAAAGTAGGACCAAGATAAGCCAGGACTTCGCCATGTTAAAGCCAATCATAGCCGTTGCTTGGTATCTATCATCCCCTACGCCACCCGTTTTTTTTATACCCTTCACCACACTGTGGTACAGGGTATTATGTCTTTGTGCATATGTTTGTAACAGGCAAAAAAATCGAGATAGACCCATGGTTCCTTTTAAGAATATGCATAGAATCACTTTCTAAGTCGATTTATGCATGTCCGTCCGTCTGTCTGTCCATGTTAAATTGTAAACAAAGTACAGGTCGCATTTATGATCCGAATTGGATGAAATTTAGCACAGCTCATTTGTTTGGCCCGAGGACGAACCCTATTGAAATTGGGAAAAATCGGTTCAGATTTAGATATAGCTCCCATATATATATATATATATATATATCTTCGTCCGATTTAAGGTAAATGGTGCACCAAAGTCCCTATATATCTTTCGATTTGCACAAAATTTGGCACAGCGTACTAAAATACGTAAAGAATGATATGTGCAAAGTTTCGTGAAAATCGGTTCAGATTTAGATATAGCTCCCATATAGGTAAATAGTCCACTGAAGTCCTTGGAAATCTTTTGACTTGCACGAAATTTGGCACAACGTACTAAATTAAGTCTAGAACGATATGTGCAAAGTTTCGTGAAAATCGGTTCAGATTTAGATATAGCTCCCATATATAGCTTCGCCCGATTTTAGGTAAATACTCCACTGTAGTCCTTGGAAATATTTTGACTTGCACTAAATTTGGCACAACGTACTAAATTAAGTCTAGAATGATATGTGCAAAGTTTCGTGAACAGCGGTTCAGATTTAGATATAGTGAAATAAGACTGTAAACTTGTCGTTAAAATATTTTTATAGGAATATTTTTATTATTATATTATCCAAATTATTTATTTACATATCCAACATTTATTAAAAATATGAACTGAATTGGTATTTATATAGGAAATATTATTTTTTTCAATTTAATTTCAAATCGGTAAAACACTCAAAGCTTTTATAGAGCGCTAATAAAATTTTGTAAATATTTTTTTATTACCACTATTAATAAATTTCCAGAAAAAGTGTGAATAACCACTTAAAAGATTTAGAAACTTTCTAAATTTTAAATCTTTTTCTTCAATTTCTTTAAAACTCACTTTATCGCTATTATTGTTTTTCTTCTTTACTAAAACTCTCAATTGTTTTTTTTTTTTCAATTTTAAAATTATCTCACTATTTTAATTCCTTACTACTTCAATACTTTACTAATAAACGAATTACTTTTCTTGAATTCTTTTTTCTCTCCATTTCTCTTATTAACTAAATTATTTTTTGTTTTTTTTTTTACTTTGTGATTGTCTTACAATTACTTGTTACTTTTTCCGCTTCTTCTTTTTCTTCCTATATTCTCTACAAAAAAAAAAAACCAAAAAAAATCGAAACATAAAACCATTTTGCCATAAACTTAATTGGTCGAAATTTTTGTATATGTAATGAATTTTTTTCCGATTTGTTTTTTCTCTTTGTCTCTACAATTTTTTGTCTTTCTCTCTCTCTCTTTCTCTTATATAATTCGTACAGCACCTGGTTCAGTACATGGACATCATCATCACACATCACTGCGCGAGCAATTACAATTTACAACTGCCATACCACAAACGACTGTTAATAACGCACCGGGCGCACCGCGGTCCATCTTCAACAGATTGGGTATAAGAAAACCATCATTATTGAGCCTCAGCAGCCCCAATCCAGTACCTGGAGGGGGAGGGGCAGCAGCGCGTACATTTTCACTTGACGATCTGTTACGACCGCCTCCCCGACGTAAGATTAGGCTAAATTCTAAATTGAAAAATTAAAAACTACAACTATAAAAACAACAACAATTAATTAATTAAATTATTAACTCAGAAAAAAAACACAATTACAACTACTTAATGAGTTGGCAAAACTTTAAACTCTTTCAATTCCTTCCCTAGATCAATGAACAACAAGACTAACTCTCTCTCTATCTCTCTCAGGCTACACTAAACTGTTTCACCATCCACCACCCTACTCTTTTATTTCTACACCTTCTATAATATCACAATTCCAAAACAACTGAAATAAATTTGAATTTTCTTTCTTTCCCTGTGTTTATACAAAAGCTTCTCTCTGTACCTACCCCTACCCTTAACCTTATCTTTGCAAAATTTTCACCTTTGGTCCTCACTGTTTTCTAAGTGTGCGTGTCTACTTATTTTTGAACCCTCCTTGTAAATTTATATTCTATTTATCCGGTTTTTCCCAAAATTGTGTATATTTTTTTTTAAATTATCTGAAATTTCAAAATCTAGATGTTGTTTTTAATACAGATTATTTTTCTATAAATATTCAATTTATATTAAAGCTTTATAAATATTGTACGCATTGCACTCCGAAAATACGATTATTACACCATCTTACTTCTCGGCACTTTAAAGTGTGTGTGTGTGTGTGTTAACCCTTTTTTGTATCCTCTATGCAATATTTAAAGATTATAGAGCCTCAGAGGTATCCAAGCTAAACATAAATTATTGTTGGCATATTCTTATAGAAGATCGTCCATAAATTTTATAAGGATAGAAGACTTGTTGTGGGTATCTATTTATAGGAAGTTTGATCTTCTATCTGACATATACATGTAGAAGGGTATCTACAGGATACCCGTAAAATAACTTCTATGAGTAGAATAACTATAACCTGTAAAAATTCTATTCTACTTGTGGAAGACCTTGTAAATGCCTTTCATCTGTGCAGGGCCTACGTAAGATCTACTGTCTTTAAAATACTTGTGAAAGATCTTCTATTTATAGAGGGCATGTAAAAATACTCTTTATTGAAAAAAACCCGTGGTAGATCATTTATCTTTAGAGGGTCCGTTAAATGGGCGTCTATCAGTAGGAGAGTTATAACAGGATTTCGATGTCTAGAAGATTATCCATCTACAGAGGAGCTATAGAGGGACTTCCAAGTGTAGAAGGGCCTATAATAGGTAATCTATTTGTACGGGACCTAATAAAGATCTTCTATTTTTTAAAGACCTATAAAAGGTCTTCTATTTTTATAGCCTTCACCACACTTTGTTACAAGGTATGTCTTTGTGCATAGAGATAGACACATGGTTCCTCTTGAGAATATTCATACAAGGACAGTTCGGAAAATGATTAGCCTAGCACAAAAAATGCGGTATAAAGAGAAAAATTAACTGTCTTGGAAACTTCCATCTCTGTCATGAACACATGTTAAATTTATTTTAATATGGTAACTCCTTCATATAGAAACATGTGTTCAAAAAAGACTCATCCCCAATTTTGATACCCTTCACCACACTGTGGTACAGGGTATTATGTCTTTGTGCATATGTTTGTAACATACACAAATAATCGAGATAGACCCATGGTTCCTTTTGAGAATATGCATAGAATCACTTTCCAAATCGATTTATGCATGTCCGTCCGTCTGTCTGTCCATGTTAAATTGTAAACAAAGTATAGATCGCATTTATGATCCGAATTGGATGAAATTTGGCACAGCTCATTTGTTTGGCCCAAGGACGAACCCTATTGAAATTGGAAAAAACCTTTCAGATTTAGATATAGTTCCCATATCTATGTTCGTCCGATTTATGGTAAATGGTGCACCAAAGTCCCTATATATCTTTCGATTTGCACGAAATTTGACACAACGTACAAAATTAAGGCTATAATGATATGTGCAAAGTTTCGTGCAAAGAATCGGTTCAGATTTAGATATAGCTCCCATATATAGCTTCGCCCGATTTTAGGCAAGTAGTCCACTAAAGTCCCTGGACATCGTTTGATTTGCACGAAATTTGGCACAACGTACTAAATTAAGTCTATAATGATATGTGCAAAGTTTCGTGAAAATCGGTTCAGATTTAGATATAGCTCCCATATATAGCTTCGTCCGATTTTAGGCAAATAGTCCACTAAAGTCCCTGGAAATCTTTTGACTTGCACGAAATTTGGCACAGCGTAATGAATAAGGTCTAGAATGATGTTTGCCAAGTTTCGTGAAAATCGGTTTAGATTTAGATATAGCTCCCATATATATCTTCGTCCGATTTAAGGTTAATTGTGTACCAAAGTCCCTATATATCATTCGATTTGCACGAAATTTGGCACAGCGTACTAAATTAAGTATAGAATGATGTGTGCAAAGTTTCGTGAAAATCGGTTCAGATTTAGATATAGCTCCCATATATAGCTTCGCCCGATTTTAGGTAAATAGTCCACTAAAGTCCCTGGACATCGTTTGATTTGCACGAATTTTGGCATAGTGTACTGAATTAGGTCTAGAATGATATGTGAAAAGTTTTGAAAAAATCGGTTCACATTTAGATATAGCTCCCATATATAGTTTCGCCCGATTTTAGGTAAATATTCTACTAAAGTCCTTGGAAATCTTTTGACTTGCACGAAATTTGGCACAGCGTAATGAATAAGGTCTAGAATGATGTTTGCCAAGTTCCGTGAAAATCGGTTCAGATTTAGATATAGCTCCCATATATATCTTCGTCCGATTTAAGGTTAATTGTGTACCAAAGTCCCTATATATCATTCGATTTGCACGAAATTTGGCACAGCGTACTAAATTAAGTATAGAATGATGTGTGCAAAGTTTCGTGAAAATCGGTTCAGATTTAGATATAGCTCCCATATATAGCTTCGCCCGATTTTAGGTAAATAGTACACTAAAGTCCCTGGAAATCTTTTGTTGTGCACGAAATTTGGCACAGAGTTATGAATAAGATCGAGAATGATGTCTGCCAAGTTTCGTGAAAATCGGTTCAGATTTAGATATATCTCCCATATGTATTTTCATCCGATTTAAGGCAATTGGTGCACCAAAGACCCTATATATCTTTCCATTTGCACGAATTTTGGTATAGGGTACTGAATTAAGTCAGGAATGAATGATGTTGCTAAGCTTCTTGAAAAGATCCATAGCTAGGCCGATTGACACATCGTACTGATGTTATATAAATTAGTCTCTGGCAAGTTTCCCCGAAATCGGTTCAGATATAGATTTATAACAAAACGCGTCGTCTGTTAGGATACATATGTAAAATATACCCAAAGTGGTGAAGGGTGTCATATAGTCGGCCCAGTCCGACTTTACTACTTTCCTTACGGGTTTACAATGGAAAACCCAGTAAGGAAAGTAGTAAAGTTGGTCTGGGCCGACTATATGATACCCTCCACCACTTTGGGTACATATGTATCCGAAAAGACGTCGCTTTTTGAAGGAATTTTGACATGAAATTGAACGAACTTAAATATCTGATTTTTATATCCTTCTGGAACCTATGCAGAATTTCATTTCATTTGGGCAAGTTTAGAGTCGTTTGCGCACAGTGGGACAGATTTGTGTAAATCGATTTAAAGCAAACTTGACACACGCTATTCGGTATGCTGCTCTGTTTAAAATTTAATCTCAATAAACAAGTCGAAATTATATTTGAAGCAAACTTGCCAGAGATTAATTTATACTAATTTCAATACGTTGTGTCAATCGGCCTAGCTGTGGATCTTTAGTGCACAATTTACTTAAAATCGGACGATATATATATATATATATATCATTCCAGACTTATTTCAATACGCTATGCCAAAATTCGTTTGTTCGCTTCTATAGCATCCATATATATATATATATATAGGGCATTCTATATATAGAATATCTGAAGATAGCCTTTGGAAAGAGGAATTCTGCCTATAAAGGGCTATAGAAAGTCTGTATGCAGAAGGCTTATGTATACAAATGGTTTTTAAGAGGTTTCCTATCTGTAGTCCTATAGAATGTATGTATAAGTTCTTCTTTCTCTAGGAGAACTATGAACTATGGGAGAACTGTGAAAACTCTTCTATCTACAGAAGGGGCATGTAAAAGGTCTTGTATAATTTAGAAGACTTTCTATCTGTAAAAAAACTTGTAAAAAGGTCTCCTATCTGTATATATTCTATATTCTTCAGATAGGTCTTACCTGAAAAAAAGGTCTTCTGAAAAGCTGCCTTTCATTAATGTGCCTGTGGAAGAAATTTTATCTGTAAAGGTTTTGTTTTTAAAACTCCATTGTAATGTCGCCTGTTATAGGCCTATCTGCAGTTGGATCTTCTTCAGTTCTTCGATCTGTAGTAGAAGAGTGGGAGATAGTCTATCTACGTATAGAAAGTCTACATGTTGATGGTATGTTAAAGGGCTCATACTTGTAGATGAAATTTTCAATGTTTCTTTGTTGTAGAGGGACTACAAAAGGCTTTCTATCCCTATAAAACATGTCTTCCTTCTAAGTGAAATCCTGTGGTAGGTATTCAATAAGACCTGTAGAAGGTACTTTATCCTTAGAATATCTGTGAGGACTGCTTAACTTCCTCCATAGAGGTCATATATATCTGATCTATCTAGCAGATGAGGATATCTATCTGACAAGGATATGGGGATCTCAGAAACATTTGATCTCATGAAGGACACTAGAAGCGTGTACTCATGTGTACGAAAAGTACTATATGACACTATATTTTGTAAAAATTTAATTTGGGGATACAAATCGAGCTGGAATCCTGGAATTAAAAAAAAAACTTACCGTCGGAGTGTAGGATTGGGATATGAACGTAGTTTTGGAAATTTATTACTTATGTGTACGAAAAGTACTAAGTAATAATCGGTACAGTTTGGATTTGGGTGAACCGATAGAGCGGGAACAATGAAATTTGGAGTCAGGATCACTGTAGGGGTGGAATTATGGTCAGGATTCCGTTTAAGAAAATAATACTTATGGG